ATTGTTTCCAACCGTAATTGGTTTTTACTGTCCCGAGGACCCCAACCAGTCAGGAAGCCAGTCTACACCTTCCTACGTGGCTTAAACTAACTGTTGTGGATTTCATTGACTGGTGAGGCCATGTTTTCGTTTGACCGCCGCTAGCTAGCTCTTTTCCAGCCTGACCGATCCTATATCAGCTAACATTGCCCATTGTCGAGGAAGGCGATGACTAGGCATGCATGCGTAACACATGTCCTAACCATCTCAGTCGATGTAATTTCACAGTCTCGTCTATCGATTTCCCCTCACACCTACCTAGCACTCGACCGAAGCCTAACCTCAATATTGCTGACCTTATCATACCACTTCACACGGGAGATAGAACGCAGACACCTATGATCGAAGACAGCTAATCTTTTCATGTCTTCCACTCTCAATGGCCAGGTCTCAATCACAACTATAAAGGAGGACGGAGCGGACTGTTGAGCAGTACACCCGTCCTTTGGTCGATAGTCGGATATCACGTCTACTATGCCAGAGACGGTGTAAACTGGCATATGCGAAACTAGCCTTCTGTATTCGTGGGGAGATTTCGTCGGAGATCAACCCGATGGCGCTGGCTGAAGCGGTCAACGTGCTCTACCACTTCACTTTCTATTAGATTTTAGAGTAGGAAGTAATTAGCATTCGAGGTATTCTGTATGAAAAGCTCAGGGAGGTTCACTGTAATGTTTTGCGTGTCCTATAAAGTCACTCGTATCAGATATATTAATAGGTGAAATATGGTTTATTAGTTGTATTTGAGAGAATTAAAAAGATAAGGAATCACAGTTATTCGGCATAACTGTATTTTTAATATTCACATGAGTGCCTCTGAGGTATTTAACCATAGAGTGTGTGTATGGCAGCCTGTTGTAATAAATTCAATTACACCTTCAACCGTCTAGTTTGAGTTTGGGAGTCTATTGCAATACTCACTTACCTACTATATTGTATGGGACTGAATACTACATGGATTAAGCCCTTTAGAAAACTATTAACTAAAGAACAGTCCATAACTCTTAAATTATTATCATTATTCCCTTGCGTTCCGAGTGGAACATAGATAGGGCTGTCTTCAACAACACACATCTCCACTTTGTTCTGTTCTCTGCCGTCCTCTTCAGCTGCTCATCTCTTCCTCACACGATCTCCTCCATGTCACCGTCGCACTGACGACCCACTCGTCGTCGGTTCCCATTTGCCTGGCGTGCGATGTCATCCTCAATGGATTCCCGATCAATCCATCTCCACTTTCTCCTGCATATTTGTTGATCGGTCGGCTCTTGCTTGTTTTGGTTTGTTCCCATAGTTTCTTGTTGCTTATTCTTTCTGGCTTGTATTTTGATCTTCAGTAAGGAACCGGTGAAGGTGTCAGCTGTTGATGAAAGACTGCAATTGGCTGTTGTAAATCCTTTTTTGTGACACACTGACCAATTTTCTGACCCGTTTAGAACAAAAACCGACTTCACATTGGTGTTGAAAATACGAATCTTGTTCCTTGAGTAGTAGAATTTGAAAACTGTATGCTGCTAAATCTCGACCGTTCTTTATTGAATCCCTTGCGGTTTCATGAGTGAACAGTGCTTAGAAGTGTTCGGGGGAGGAGGAGGGGAAGGAGGACTCGCCTCCAAGCAAACGAAACGGCCGTTCGATGATTAGATCATTTCTCTCTGGCTAGCAGGTTACCCTCTCCGCGATCGACACTGCATAACTAAGGCTAATATTTAACTCAGACTTGAAATATGGGTTAACTACACTGGCAGAAGAAGCATCAAAGATAGGACTTCAGGTGAACATAGAGAAAACAACTGTGGTGATGAAGATTCCTGGGCAACACCAACAACAGCAGCAACAACAGACAACAATCAGCTAGCATAAATGGAAGGAACCTGAAAGAAACAACCTCCTTCACCTGCCTACCTGGGAAGCATCGTTTCGACTGCAGGCGGAACTGACAAGGATATCAAAGCAAGAATCGGAAAAGCAAGACAAGCTTTCATTACTCTCAAGTCTGTGTGGAGGTCAACAGCACTCAGATCCGGATTTTCAACTCCAATGGGAAGTCAGTCAGTGCTACTTACTATACGGATCAGAGACTTGCACTGCGCGTCATAAAGAGCATCTCAAACAAACTACAGACCTTCATTAACAGCTAGTTGTCTTCGCTCAATACCAGATGGCCGGCCGGCCAGAAAAGATCAGCAACAGGGTGGGATCTCTGGCAATGAGCGAACCAACCAACACAGCAGGAACCGATTGTGCGAGAAATAGGCAGGAAGAAATGGAGATGGATTGGATTGTGGCCATACTCTGAGGAAACAAACCATCAAGTGAGTGACATCACTAGACAAGCCATTGCTCGAGTGGAGATGATGTGAAGAGGAGATGAAAGCATGTGGGCAGACATGGAGCCAGGTGAAAACTCTAGCAGAGAACCGAACGCAATGGAGACGCACGGCTGAAGCCCTATGTTCCTCTAGGAATTAAAGGAAACAATGATAATAATAATAATTATTATGAATGATGTATAGTGCTCACACAGTTGAAGTTTCGTTTTGTTTTTTTTGAAGCTAGGCGACATTTTGTCAGCTGACACTTTTAACTGTGAAAAGCAGCGTCTCTGTCGTAGCCCACAATAGAAGACTACCTCCTGTTATATATATATACTTACAAAAAGAAGGGATCCAACCGATTGTTTGTCTTACTTTCTTTTTCTTTTCTAAACACTGATAACATTAAAAAAACCTACTTTGAAAAGAAGTAAGAGTAACATAACAGTAATCAGGATTCTTTCTAATAATAAAAGTACTTTCCTTATCTTTACAGAATATAAATATAAATATGTATATATATATATATATGTGTTGACAAAAACAAAAAAGGCGTAAGTAAATGAAGCAGTATCGATCACCTTTGAATAGTAGTAGAAGAAGAAGAAGAGGCGGAGGAGTAGTTTAAAGATGGTTACACGACATAAACAAGTAAGGCGTACTACTACTACTAATTGCTACCTGTGGATAGGCTGATACCTCGCGCCCACCTACTTCTTTTGTCACTTCATAGGGCAATCAATTCACAGTCATTATCAGCGTCGAGGTGCTCGGTGTGTGTGTGTGTGTCGGCGTGCGTTCTCCGGCTGTTGGAAATATTCGATCGGGTTGATAATTATTATTATTATTTGACTTTCACAAGCCGAATATTGATTGTGAAATGAAGCGCGTTCTATATATAAATGGCGAAATACTAATCTCTTTGCTAAATGGAATCGTGAGCCTGAATAATAGTTCAGTGGTAATGTCTCTTACTGCACACACAGCTGACTGTGCAGGTGGGTTCGGATGTGTCAGAGGAGACATGAGTTCGTTTAAGGTTGTAGATATATATGCCTTGCCAACAAGCACGAAATCTAGGTCGAAGGCTTCCTACCTCCAACCTCCACTTAATAACAATAAATGGCATCAATTTCATTATAGACGTACTAATGGACTTAACCGTAACACACTTCAGTGACTCAGGGATCGACTTGCAAACAGGGAATAATCTCCTTGACTTAGAATATGCGGACGCTGAAAAAAATGCAGAGTCTTCTGAACACCTTGAGAAACAATCTTAGTATGTTTGGCATGCGATTCGCCCCTGTAAAATGTAAGATGATGCTGCAGGATTGGAATTCACCGACCCCTAGATTAGAAATAGGAAGTGAAGTGGTAGAGCACGTTGATCACTTCAATTACTTAGGAAGCACCATCAGCCAGTGCCAACGGGTTGATCTCCGACGAAATCTTAGCACGAATACAGAGGGTTAGTTTCGCATACGCCAATCAGTTTACGGCACCTGTGGCGTAGACGTGATATCCGACTATCGACCAGAGGGCGTGTGTACTGCTCAGCCAACAGTCCGCTCTGTCCTCCTTTATAGCTGGCTGTGAGACCTGGCCATTGAGAGCAGAAGACATGAAGACATTATCTGTCTTCGATCATAGGTGTCTGCGTTCTATCTCCCGCATGAAGTGGTATGATAAGGTGAGCTAGGTAAGACGGGGAAGTCAGTCGACGAGACTGTGAAATTACATCGACTGAGATGGTTAGGACATGTGTTACGCATGCATGCCTAGTCATCGCCTTCCTCGACAATGGCCAATGTTAGCTGATATAGGATTGGTCAGGCTGGAAAAGAGTTAGCTGGCGGCGGTCAAACGAAAACATGGCCTAACCAGTCAATGAAATCCACAACAGTTAGTTTAAGCCAGCTAGCCACCCACGTAGGAAGGTGTAGACTGGCTTCCTGACTGGTTGGGGTCCTCGGGACAGTAAAAACCAATTACGGCTGGAAACAATTGGTGACATGGCTCAAAGTGATCGTTCTCAGTGGCTGGCTGGCTGGCGGAGATGCATCCACTCCTTGTGACTTACTTATGATTTCCAATGAAACTGTTTTGTTCTTCGTTATTACTATTACTTTGTCTCACCACACCTCTGTTTACTGTATCTCTCTATTATGCATTTCTCCTACTTTCTTCTCTTGCTTTGTGTGCTACATGGAGTGGAGGGAGTGTGGGGACTTGAACTTCCGCACATCGGTGCAAAGTTCTATGTCGAAAACTGACCGACCGACCGACCGATCAAGTTGATGATGAATACATTTCGCTTGTTTTATTTGCCAGTCCAAATGAACCTGTTTTATTTGGCGCAATAACAATCAAAAGATAGACTTACTGAAATCTAACAACTGAAGTATACATTTGACCTGTAAACATTATCACACGGGAGAATTACTAACTCAGGCAAAAAGCAAAAAAACACAATGCGGGAAAATCACACAGCATCACTCTCTCCTGAAATAATAATCCTTTATGAAAGCTTCCATTTCCTTCAAAAATTAGTGACCCCGAGTAGGGTGATAAGTTTATTAAATTAAATTAACATATAACTTAAAAAATTATTCAAGAGGTAAGTAGTTCTCGCTATGCACTTACCATAGAGCCGATTTAACCACTCCCTTTCGAATTTTGTACTGCATGCCAGAGGATTTTTAATTCCAGCTCCATTATTGATAAACTCAACGGGACCGATACTTTTTAACAAATCAAGGGTTAGCGAAGTCTAAAGAAATTCAACAAAAAAATAAATAATTAAAAAATAAATTGTGGAGTCAATCATTTAGACACTTATTATTATTTTTGTATCCTTTAATTCCTAGAGGAACATACGGCTTCAGCCGTGCGTCTCCATTGTGGTCGGTTCTCTGCTAGAGTCCTGACCTGGCTCCAAGTCTGCCCACACGTGTTCATCTCCTCTGCACATGACCCCCTCCAAGTCACCCTTGGACGACCAACTTATAGAATTTACTAAAACCTTGAACTCAACAGGGGTTACTTCCTGCCTTCACTTATCCAGCTAGGAAGCATCCTTTCAACTACAAGTGACAGCATGGGGCAAAGTTAAACTTTAAGCACTGCTAACTAACCAATCAGCAAACGACCTTCAACGGACCAATCACATGAAAGAGGGAATTTTGATTATGGAAAAAAAGCATAAAATCTGCATAAAACTGTTACATAGGGTATCCTTCCTTCTTTAGCATGTGACAAAAACATATCCCAGTATAGCATAGCAGTGTCAATAGAAAAGTCACACCACAATCTGTACATATATATTCATCCAAATAACTATAAATGAGACCCTTTTGAAGTCCATTTATAGTCCTAATCCTATTTTTAAATCTTCCCTGTTTCACAAGTCTAGTAATAATGGATATTAAAGTAGTTGACTTTCTAACTGGTGTTCTCTCCACGAAACCTTTCCCCTGGGAGATGTCGCATAAACCGATCACACTAAAAACATTGTTGGCTCACTGACGACCATGGTTGTATTTTTTTCTTCAGTAATACAGTTTCGTCCACGTGTGTAGTACGATACCTTCTCCGCCTAACAACGAAGTAATTCTCTGCATTTTTTATGAGGCAGTGCTGGTACCACTGAACCACTGTTGACACGAGGCTACTTTTGCTTTTAGCAGCTGCGCCTCTCACAGGCTGTTTTAAAACCCAGTAATTATAAATATAAAAAATCTTGGTTAGGTAGAGATGTGACCTAGCAAAAAATGTTCCTACGAAATATTACAATTATCAGCTTACCTTCCCTAATACTAACTCGTCTCAAAGAAATTTCACAACGATGGATATATCCATCAATCGATCTGCTAAAGCTTTTTAAACTCATGACACTACCACATGAACAAATCCTCTTCTGTCTAAGCAACCCCAAATCCAGGCAATACTGCAAAACACTATCCTCCTCGAACTGCAAGCGTAAGTTCGTTAGAGCACACATTTTAATACGAATCAAGCGTTATACAACCTTGAACTCACGTACATGAACCTCATTGGACCATTCGAGGTCGTTCGCTGATTGGTAGTTAGTGGTGCTTAAAGTTTAACTTGGCCCAGCATGGATAAGGATGTCAAAACCAGACAGAATCGAAAAGGTGAGACAGGTCATCGTCTCTCTGAGGTCACTATGGAAATATTCTGCACCCCTCCACCTCAGCATAAACACAACAAGATTCGGATTTTCACCATCAATATTAAGTCACTTAGTGCTTCTGTATGCTTCGGAAACTTGGTGTGCGAGTCAACAAAGCATTTCCATCAGGCTAATGTGCACTTTTATCAATCAATAGTTGCCTTCACTGACTCCATACAGAAGATTAGACGGCCGGTCAGAAAGAATTAACAACAAAAATCTGTGGGAAAGAACCAATCAAGAACCTGTTGCTGAAGAAGTATGTGGAAGGGAGTGGAGACGCATTGGACACACATTGAGAAGACTGTTGAATGATATTTCGCGCCATGCGATCTTCTAAGTGGAGTCCAGATGAGGAAGGAGGAGGAGTTGGGCGACGGTCCAAGTGTGACATGGAGGAGATCGCGTGAGGAAAAAATAAAAAAAAACCTTCTAAGCAATCATAGGTCCAGCTAAAAAGGACCACGGAGAACAGCACAAAGTGGAGATAATAATAATAACAATAATAATTTGCTTTATTCCAGAAACAGTACTAGTGGTACAGTGTGGAATTTTCAGCACATATCTACAATATTTGCATCTAATTTTATCAAACATTTAAAAGGAGTATTTAACACAAAAAAATAAATCTAAAGACACCAACAGCAAGAAAAGACAGGAAAAACACAAAATGATTTTTTTTTAATTTGCGAAAAAATGCCAAGAAGTAGAAAGGAAAATAAACAGCATTTAATAATAACTCAGTATTGGGTAGTGGAAGCAATGATATGATTATGCATGGTGACAGTAAAGCTATAGTCATACAAGAAGTTATGAAATGATATTTAAGAAAGTTTATCGCCAAGTTGATCAGTTAATTTGGTTGAAACAACTCTAAACAATCAGTGAAATAACATTTCAGGGTTTGTTGTTTAGTTTTTATTGTCAGGTCTAATGCAGTGTTTGTAGTGGAAGTGTGAGTAATCCTGCATAATACAAAATTTTAAGGTGATGACTATGGCGTTCACATCCAATGACAGTCAGTTAATATTGCCGAACAAAAAATAAAAAATAAGCAAAAACAACCACAAAACTAATAATTACATGATGGTTAATGACAGGACAATTTTGTAATACTCATAGTGCTAATATATTTGGAACCAGTAGATACATAAAAGAAGGAATACAGTAAAGTACAAAAAGTAAGCCAATGTTAATAATTTAGGTAGCTAAGTATGTTTGAGAAGGAGTTCACTATAGAATACAAAATAAGAGAGAAATAAAAGAGCCTAAAATTATGTTATTAACAACAAAGCAAGTCATAGGTTTCGCGCTTAACATTGTCTCTGTCGCTTAGAACACGGGCCAAGTAAGAGAAGAGGTTGAGTTATTATGTCTGGCAGAAAGTCTCAACTTTATGTAACAAACCATAACCGAAACATTTTCTTCTTCGAATTCGACAAAATATGAGACACACCCAACAGAGATTCGAAGAGAAACTGATGCCAAGATATTCGAGATATTCGACTAACTCTCTATCATAGTGCCGTCAATATCACAAGAATCATGGATGTGTGAATCAGTTCACGCAGGTCTTGTTCATGTGTGAAACTGAAATTGACATTGTGACAACTGGAAGGATTCAGTTTAAGATTATTTGAGTTTTCATATCAGGTGGATCGAATGCAGAAACTAGTTGGACAGAAACTGTCAGAGCACCAACATATTAATTAAATGAAATAACCAACCTTTGAAAGAGAACTGTTATTCATGAAAAAAATGAAGGAAAAAGAAATGTAGAGAGAGAGAGAGAGTACAGCATCTTGTGGTCCACCAGCTTTCAGTGCACGGTGAGCTGTTTTCCAGCTGAAAAACCCGGAAGACCTTGTCACCTTGACCATTCAGGACTCAATGCGTCCTGAAGTCAACTTGCTCAGTAAAAATTTCCCTAGAAACAGAGTTAAAAAGAAGGAGTGAACGTGCTTCTACTGCAGTTATAAGTAAATTGTTAGTCGGGTCACAGAGAGACACATTTTACAGAGAGGACAGGATTTCCGTGATCAGCCGACACAATTTCTGAATGCTGTTAGTTAAGCTGTGATTATAAGTGTTGCCTTGTTATAAGCAGAATCAATCACTTGCGAACTACTTTGATGTAAATTAAGAAATACACTATTAATATTATTTTACGAGTTGATCACGGATTGATATCAGTTAGAGAACCATTGAAAACCAGCCACAGGGAGTACTGCCAGACAGCTGCTGTTTCATCCCACTAGTTTGAGAATCATCGCCAGTACGCACCCACTACTGCACCGGGATTCGAACCCAGGACCTTCCGGTTACAAGGAAAGCAAGCTGGCTCGTATACCATTCAGCCACTCACTGGGACCCGCCGATTCAATGGCCATCAGTGCATGAATTCTAACTTCTACCAATTCGTGATGTATTTAGCGCGACTGGCACCAACCATTGTCGTTGGTGGGACATCCATCCACACACACGTGATGACATCTAATTGGACCACCTCACTGGTCACGACTTCTCCCCGAGAACTGATTGACTCCAGGAAACTCCATCCTGTAGCAAGTCACTCACTAGCGCGAGCATCAGATTAATATTTTTTTCTATAGTTTGGTTTGTAAGGATTAGTCCGTGATCAACTCGTAAAACATAACTAATCCTTACAAACCAAACTATAGAAAATTAATATTATTATTAGTATGAGTAGTAATAGTATTCCTGTTTGCTTATATTTTATAAGAATTTATTGTCATTATTATTGTTATTCTCATTTTTTTCCGGTGAGTAGTTTTACTTTCAGTGGCACAATTTTATGACATTATTTTTTTCATTTCTTTTTTTTTCAAGTGAGTGAAATTCACTTTAACATATCATCAATTGCACTTGCGTTTAAAACAACAGAGAAGGAAAGAAAGAAAGCAAGCAAGCATTCAAATTTCAAACTATATCCATCCATACTTTGGTTATGTATGCTATATATGTAAGAATAGTAGTACTCAAACTTTAAACTAATGGTGTGTTTAGCAGGCACGGACGCACGCACACACACACACACACACGAAAAAAGTTTTACACACGAGTACGGACGCACTCTTGCTCACATACACTTTGCTTACACTAAATATTCACAAATATTATTGTATATATATATACATATATATCCTCTGTTTGTTGTATGTCCTTATGTGTAGCGTGAGTATGATGTGTGTGCATGTGTGTGTGTGTGTGGGCGAGTGTTTGAACTTGTTTACTGTCAATGTACTGAAAGAGATTTATTACTATTATGTACTGACAACGTCCATTTCACGTTTGAAGGTGAACATTTTAGACAAGGGGATGGCGTTGCTATGCGGAGTCCATTAGGCGGACCTTTGATATAAGAATAAAACTTGGGCACTGTGGTAGAGTGTAATTTCATTATGTATAAATTTTATTTTGATAAAGTCGCACAGTGTTGTTATACAATAATATTTACTGATGACGTTTCGAGCACAATTTATTGCTCATAATCATATCAAGGAAATCACACGACTACCTAAATTCATTTATATAGAAGAGGCGTTGGTTTTAAATAA